GTCCGGAACCCTAAAAATCATTCCATCGTATACATATATACGATATAGTATGTATGTTGTAATATATAAGATATGATATATATATATATATGTACATACATATTCATATACATATACATATACACATCTATACATGTATACAGTTATACATACACAGACATATACATATATACATATATACATATATATATTATATATATATCATATATCATATATACATATATATATATACATATATATATATATATATATATATATATAATATATATACTTATATATACATATATACATATACATATATACATATATATATATATATATACGTACATATAACTATAATACATATACACATATCTATATATATATATATATATGTACATGTGTGCGTGTACCCTGAGCCGAGCAGACCGCGCTGGCAACTCGATCGGCACATTCTCTTTCAGGTTGCACAAAGACCCACCACAGAGGGATGTAAGTTGGCGAGCCTGGTAATTACCCCGTGCTGTATGTGTGTTTACATTCATGCATACACACACACATATACATACATACATACATGCACATACACACACACACACACATACGCACAGATGCCTACCTGCCTATCTGCCTACCTACCTACATACATACATGCATCGACTTCTTTCTAATGATGCTATGTCCGCACTTTGGCGTACTTGGCCAACGCTGGCTAGACCAGGCTTTGTACACCCAGACCGTAACCAAGGCTCCTGACATTGGTGCAACGCTGCAGCGCTGCTGCGCCATCTGCGAGATGCTTCTTGATTCATGGATTGCTTGCTCCAGTAATTGTTCTAGAGCATGCAGCAGGCCTATCGAATGCAGTCTGTCGTGAAGATGAAGTGGCGCCTCAACGTGTGATGGCTTGTGGGCAGTCGGACTCCGAAGACCCAGTCGCTACATGATATTGAGCGTTCCCTCAATGCAAATTCGACGACCTTAGTTTCAGCATTCGGGCCCAACAGGTTGCAAGGCTAGTCAACAGAGATCTCCGTCGAGCAGCAACTAACCACGCAAGTGCAGAGCTGTGCACGCCTGGCTCTGGACAAACTTGGTTTGGCTCTTCTGGCTTTGGGTTTCAGCACCGGGCTCAACGCGTACTGTGTTAGGCAGTTTCCTTGTGTACTCAGGTTCGCGATTGGAGGCAGCCGCGGCTTGGAGTGACGATAGCTTGAAGCGCGAGAGTGTTTTCTCCTGACCGGAACATCATGGCACAAACAGTAGGTACTGGGTCTACCTCTTGAACCTGCCTACTTGCCGTGCTAAAATGCTGAAGAAGGAAGCTTCATCTTGTGCTCCCAACAAACGGCTACTTCATCTACCCGACAACAAAACAAGGAACCATTTGAGGCCCCCTGGCTACGGCGCTGGGCCGCATCATCCCCACGAGCAGCGCGAGAGAAGGTTTCTCGGGATCTCGGGTTGAGTTATGCCGCTAGCGCTATTCCATCCAACCAAAAATAGCGCCTAGAGATGGCAAACCATGGCATATCAACGACTTAAACAGCTAGCAGCACTGCAAGTTGACTGCAAGACGGTGTCGGTGTGTGTGTGTGTGGGTGTGTGTCCCAATCAACATCTTCAGCCTTCGTTGTTGAACCCTCATCCTCTAAGCCCTCGAGCCTCAACCCCTTAAACACTACCTGGTCGGTTCAAAGGGGGTAGTTTTAGCTTGTGCTGCTGGAATCATGGTGGCAAGTGGCACCCCGAAGCGTAAGCTTCAGGCCATTTTGTGACCGGGCATGGTTGAGCCTCGACTTAGATAGGCACATCGAGCTCGCACTGGCGAACGCTACAATTTTTGTTCCAAGACTTGGAGGAGTGATTAGTTTTCCGACAAACAATATGACTCCAAAAAGAAGGCCAATGACGCAGCCAAGACAAGACTGAAAGAACTGCCAGAGTACTCGCTCTGAGCGACGTGCAGTTTCATTCTGCATTTTGGAGGTGGTTCCGCAACGTGCCTATCTCAGGGGCGTGGAGGAATGCCAGTTGAACGCCATACCAGTTCTAATTCGCACGGGCACAAAGGATGCCAACGCTGTTGACGTTGAGGAAAGGATCGGGCGCAAAGTTTACCAGGCTATCACGGGCAGTGCTTAGAAGCAGCTGTTTACGGCACGAGAAAGTAACCGTATTTTGGACTCGGGTCCCACATCGGGTCGTGGTCCCTGTTGGCATTACAGAGCCAGAAAGCCGGGCCGAGAAGGTCGTGGCACGCGAGAGCAAGCAGAAGCATACCACGAAGGCCAACGAGGAGATCGACCGGTCGGAGTAGCAGTGCCTCAATTGAGCAACCTGTGGCGATTCGTCTCCGAACGCAGCACCACCCACTTGTGCTGGCCTTGTGGCATGAAGGGTCGGAACGAACAAAGGGGGCTGAAGAAGGAAGAGCTGACGGCCCAGCAGCAGCGCCTGGTGGAGGCGAAAGCATGTGCAGAAGAGCGGGATATCAAGGTGGGTGAAGACTTACGTGTCTTCACCCCCATTAGGGGGTTCGGGGTACTGGTAACCAAATGTGAATCTGTGAATCTATTTGTTTTGGTCCTGGTTCCTTTTTGGTGGGTTCATGCGTGAACCTTACCCCAGGGGGAAATTGTGTTCGCTCGCAGCTTTTATTCGAAAGCTTCGTTGTCACACAACTTCAAGACAGCATGTAGATGCAGCCTCACTCGACAGGCCTTGAACCACATGCTTCGCCTGGATTGTCCGAGTGTGAGCGCCGAAGCAAAAACGGAACATAAGACGTAGTGCAACATGTTGTTTCCCCCTCGTAGGCCTGTTCGTACGATTCGTAGCCGGGACGGGCTGCCGAGTTCGGTAATTACTCGTTTAGAGTATATGGTTTCGGGAAGTCATGATGTGCGCTGACGTAGTGTTTGGGTGGTTGTATCTTCAGGATTCCCGGGCTCGGCCACTGGCGGGGTGGCTCACTCAAGTGGCGTGTGACACCACGCCGCCAAAACAAAAAGGGGTGTGGATGTTTTTTTTTGTGTGTGTGTGTGAGAGAGATTTGATGCTGTTGTTGTTGCTCTGTGTTTAGGTTGCATGTTGTTCCCGGCGGCGCAAACCGGGTGACCAACCCTCCCTGCTATGACGGGGGTGGGTTCCTGCGTGCCACGGCTTACAGCAGCTGTCGGGAAGATGACGAAATCCATCCCAAGTTGGGAATTCGTGAATCCAGGGAGTCTACTCAGACAGGGCTTCAGAAAACTCGCTGTTCTAGTACCCTGCATGCCGCGCTGCAACCGCTGTTTGTTTCGATAGCATGCATCCGAGTGATGTATGCTTGCCGCTTCGGTCAGAGAGGGACGCCCAAAGCGGGCAACGGACACGGGGTCGTGGTCTGGTAATGCTTGAACTTTTGAATTCACGAGTTCATGGAGTTCCAAGCAACTGTTGGGATTTCAGGACTTCAGGAATTCATTGGAGCAGCGGCGGATTTGGCTTCCATCGAGTGTTAACTTAACTTCTGCATGTCATCATGAATGCAAGCTTGTGTGTTCGACGAATGCAAGATGGCTGAGTCTGAGTTGTTTGTCAAAGAAAGACTAAATTGTAGTGCGTGATACATGATATAGGCCAGATGCTATGTGCTTGGCGCATATCTTTTGATTTTTCTGCATGGCACGCAGCACTGACTTTGCAAGTTTGTAGTGGACATCCTATGGATTATGTGGAGCCTTGCTTGCCTTGTGCGAGTGTGAGAAGTCGAAACACTACACCCCGCCTGGAACGGCGTGTGAGTGCGTGAACACAATCTACATTACATCCCTTCAGCCCACGATGCCTGTGTCATTGAGGCTGCTTCTGCTTCGGACGAGAACGGCTTCGAAGCAGTTTGGCGGAGCAAGGGTGCTGACTTAGGCTGTAATTTCAACCCTGCCAGCTTGAGGCAGGAAGCTACCGACCGCTGCTTGACGTTGCCAGTTGCAAGGCTTCAGGGAATCAAGGTCCTCACCTTTTCTGTTTTGAATTCAGCCCGAATCCTGATTCTGTCAACCTGCAAAGTTGCGCACTCCTCGTGAAACCATCAACGAGAAGCACTAGGTCAGGAGCATATTATCGCACATTATAGTATATTAAACTGCGCATTCTTGCGTTTTCTAGTACATCATGGTTTGTTATAACCGGCTGACTTTTCCGAAGACCAATAACCAGCCCGTGAATGCAAGCATCGAGTCCAAGGCGGCCTTGGCTGCATTGCTGGCGCCGGCAGAGGGCAGAGAAAAGAACTTTGCAAAGTGATTCAGGTTTAGGGTGTGGCGCTCTAGGGGTCTAGGGGTGCGGATTACTGAGGTTAGGGGTTTACGATTTAGGGTATGTGATGTCATGACTGTTCCCGGATGGCCTTTTTGCTACGCGCATGCAACAGGCTCGCATGCCCAACTCACAGAAGAACGAATCGTGAGCATGGCTGGTAGCTGACCATTTAATTTCACGACCTAAATGTAACAAGGGCAGATTTCAATTGCGCATCGCACTAGTGTTTTAGACTTGGTCCTACATGTGCTTCTGCTTGGGAGCCTTCTAGAATCGGCATGATGCATGGCATGCTGCTTCGAGGTTTTCCTGGACCCTCCACACCCAGCCCAGACGACTGCGGCTTCCACTGTGGAGAAGCCGCGGGAATTCTTCCAAACCCGTGGAAAGCAAGCATGATTACTATGACTACTGCCATTACTATAACTACGATTTCTATTGATATCGCCTACTGTTACGAATTATTGCTGATATCACAAATACATATTATTCATATGTCTACTAGCCATTCTTTGCTTTCGTGATGTTGTGTTCAAGTTTTTTGTTATGTTTATTACTGTTACTGGTCTTTCGTAGTGCATATCATAATTTCCATCAGTATTATTCTTTCTGCTACTACTGCTTTCATTTTTATGGAATGTTAATATTCTTCATAGATAATGATAATTGTCTGTGCGTTTCAAATTCCTGGCTTTGTTGCCATGACGATTATTGAGGTGACCTGGGTTCGGCATCGGCAACGACTGCGCAGCCAGGATCCCAGCTACAATGCAGCTACAAGGCCACCGGTTTCTGCAATCCTGGCTTCAGGCTCAGACCACTAAGAGGTTTAGGGGTTTCGGGCCTCGGGTTTAGGATTTAGGAGTGATTTAGGGTTTAGGATTTATGGTTTAGGGTGGGGCCGCCGAGGTCTCATGCGTGGTTTCCTTCCGGGTCAAATCAGAAGCTGTACATCGCAGGCCCAGGCAGTAATATGCAGCAATGCTCGTTACTTTTTTTAAACCTACCGCAGCTCTGGCCTTAATCACAAAATTCTAAAGCCGGCGCAAAACCCAAGAATGCCGCCCTATGCAACTGTCGTTCTCCTTATATACCGATTTTTCAACGTGATTGCAAGAGTTCATAGTTTTCAGAGCCCCTCCACAACCGTGTTTTGGCTCAAGGCCCAAGAGCCTCGAGCTTGTGAGAAGGCAGCGCATCGCCAAAACAATCAGAGACATGGAGGGGTCGAGCCTTCGGGGTTTAGGGTTTAGGCTTTAGGGGTTTGCCTCACTGACGGTGGCATGTCCAGCATGTGCATGGGCCTCGGTCGTGATTAGAGAGAGGTCGAGCGGATCTGGCTACGTAGTCCTCAAGAGCAGTAGCAAAACGGGTTCTTCCTCACAACGAGTCAGAACCCTAAATCATCCAAACCCTGAGCCCTTTTGTCGCACTTGGAATGGTTCCTGCAGAATGGAACGGGCAATCTTTACATTAAAGGGCAAGTCAGCCCAGACTTGCAGTAACACAGCAGCCACTACATGTAGCAATACCAATCCTCAAAGTTCCTTAGTCAATATAGTATAACATCCCATGGACCTAGTTTAAAAACAGTAAGAACCCGCAATTTATGATCGAGGGACATCTTGGAATGCTTTTTTGCATGTGCACACCGAGCAATGCAGAAGATCGAGCAGCTGAAGCTGGTTGCCACACTCAAGGCACGTAGGTTTGGGGTTTAGGGTTGATGTCTCAAGCCTAGGATCCGGGACGGTTTGCGGGAATTTACGCCCGTAGCATCTCAGACGGCTCAACACTGTCGCCTTCTTGGCTGTTTCTTCAGCTGCGACTTTCCGTGAACAGGGTATGGGAAGAGCCAACCTGTCTAGACTCGTAACTGGACGAAGACAGGCTGACAAGGCACTTCCACACTGTACCAAAACACGTCATAGATGCATGCAGAGTTCTCGGCCCCGCCGCGCTGGGTGATCCGAAGGCGAGCAGGGAACGACTGACCCGGTTCAAAGCTCCTGCGAAGTATGTCTTCCCGGGGTGACATTGAACGTTTAGTGGCCGCTCCGTTTCTGTTACAATCTTGCTTCTTTACCTCGATTGATCATCCAGTTCTTGGAGATCTCTGTTAGTCCGGTTCCGTTTTCAGGAGCACACGGACGGGATCTCGAGCTTGGCATGTGCAGACTCTGGCGTCTCAGCTTATGGTTGATGATCCTTCCTGCTGGTCTAAAGCTCCCAGTCTCCCGAAACCCCAGTACAGAGGTCGAGTCCTCCCAATTATACTTATGTGATGTACCCCAGAACCCTATCCTAACTAGTAAGGCCCCTATACCCCAAAACCTCCAAGGCAACTGTCAGCGCTGTTTATCGGCCTCCCGTGACGGCACCGTGCGCGTCTGGGAGCTGCCGAGTGGAAAAGGCCGGCCTTTCTCGTGGCTTTATTGCCCAAAGGGTCCAAGGTACCGAAATGGGTGGTTGTCAAAATGATGGTCCCTTTTTGGGTCCTTATTATAATACGGCACCTAATATTTTGGGTGCCCAAAAAGGGACCCCAACTTTGACAACTATCCAAATAGTAGAATGTAGGGTTTCTATGATAGGAATTACCATTATAATTTTGGGCAGTATCCCCCATAACACTGCCTACTTGTAGGACCCTTTGGGTTAGGGCTTATCACTCGGGCAGAAGGGAGGCAGACCACGGCCCCGAAACCAGCGTTTCATTGATTGTACCCAAGTTACGTAGGGGGTGGGGAGGGTGGTAAGTTGAACGGTTCAGAGGGATTCTCTTCCTTGCAGAGGGGCGGGGGGGGGGGGGTTGTTCACAGGATATCCTGGACTTCTGGTTTGTGCAGATGCAGAGCGGGGAGCGGGGGCGTTAAACTGGTATATCAGTGAAGCCAGTAAAGCTGAGTAGCTGTAGAACTCATCTGCAGCTGCCTCCTCCAGAGCTGCTTGCGCAATGCGTGCGATGTGTGGAAGCGTGGCTGGATGAACCCTCCGACAGATTGCCAACAATCCTCCTCCTCCTCCTCCTCCTACTCCTACTCCTACTCCTACTCCTACTACTACTGCTGCTGCTGCTGCTGCTGCTACTACTACTACTACTACTACTACAACTGTCCTTGAGGTCAATTGGAGAGGTTTGCATCCCTGCTTGTGAACAATGGAGGTCTTCAAACTGTCTGAAACCAGGATGCTTTTATTGGTCACTATGTGTGTGTATATATATATATATGATATTTATGTATATAGTATTACATACATATATAGTATTTTATATAGAGAGTATCATATATATTTATATAGAGAGAGAGTTATATATATATATATAGAGTTATATATATATATATATGTATGTATGTATTTATGTGTTTTGTGATTCGTCTTTCTGAGTTGTTCCTGCGATTGATCCTGATTTCGCTTCGCGGACACAGCAACTCTCAACCAAGAAAGGCGCCCCGCCTGAACTCCTTTCCTGTTCAGTTTCCGACTTCGACTTCGAGCGTGTCCTCAAAGATCCGAAGTATGCCAGCTCCAAAGTGCTCCGTGGTCATCGAGGTGCGCCCACTCCCCCTGGCGCTCTCTTGGTTTAGGGTTTAGGGTAGGGCTCTCTTGGGGTCGAAGTCGGTTTGTGGGGGGAATTCCCACACCACACATAGAGAAAAGTTCACAAAGCGGTCCATCCGTCTCCGCAATCACGACGGCTAGCGCTAGAGGAAAGATGCTCAGCCAGAGGGGAGACAACCCAAGGTTCACCGAAATTTTGCTCTCACCTAGCAGTAGAGGATCTGTCGCGCCTTGTCGTGCATGTGCTTTCTGGCAAAGATTGCAAACCTGACTCGCAATCATATCCTGCAGAGCGCGGGCAAACCCTGAAATATCGGGCATTGGGGCTTCAATCTTTAGAAATGGTTCCTTGGGGGTTCGGAATCAAGTATCCTAAACCGTACCCCACCCGAAAACACAATTCAAACGGTTGAGGCTCCTACTTTCACCTGGTCCGGAAATTCTCTCTCGGAGTAGATTGTCCGAGGCCCCGTGTCTTGCGCCGCCATCTCAGAGGATGGCATCTGGGCGCGTTGGATTGCAGTTGTGGGTCCGAGTTCGAAGAGGGGTTCGGGCATTTATATATAAGGATGACGTACTCATATTGTTGGAGCGTTTGCAGCTTAAGCTGTTTCGAATGACCCATGCTACTTATTCAAATTAGACAATGGAACTCATCCGGCTTCCGGTCAGCGTCTGCAGTAGAACAATCGGGGGTTTGCCCGGCCATTTCCCTTCCATTCCTTGAGAACCTTTCAGTTTCAGGTTCCCGAGAACTCCTTGATTCTTCCAGGGTTGCCGGTATGTTGGGGGTGTTTGTTTGGAAGCTGCCAGCTCTAGGAAGCCTATTTTTCCCAGAAAAAGTACTAGTAGGTTTTTACAAGCCCTCTCTTACAGGATATACTAGGAAGTAGGCGTTCTGTGGGGATATAGAAATACCGGCAGAACGACGCCGCATGCAACCTTCTTTGTGCCACCTTCACAAAGATTCTGCGAAACCGAACGATGCAGTTAAGGCAAGCATGCACTCACAAGCTCGTGACCCCGATGCAGTCAGTGCAGGAGTCAGGTTCACGGTTAGGTACATGGTTTCGCGTTGCTTTGGGGCGTTGAGCCTTGACTGGTTTGTGGGCCTTGGCAAGAAGCGGGTGGTGGTTCGATTGTTGAGAGATACTGGGCAATGGGCTATGCTGACTCGCTTGAGCCAATGATGACCACACGTATTTTCGGGGGTGGTTTCAGGGATCAAGGTAGTCAGGTTCTAGGTTGGGTTTAGAGACAGGCGCGCTCTCGATCGTTGTCTTTGCCACCGGCTTCTTTGTTCCAATGGCTTGCAGGTCTAAGGAGGCAAGCTAAAGTTCAGGCTTTGGTAGATCTGAGTGACTAGACTAGAGTCTTAAAGGTCCATGTGGGTAGTTGTTAGCCGTTCGGGGACTCTGCGACATGCGGTGGGAAGAAGCTGATGAACTACGAGCAGTCAGACTCACTGGTTACCAGGCTCCGCTGAAACAACCACTCCGGCCGGCTCATGCCATCCGTGAATACAAACCACACATGAGAAACCCCATGCCACCCAGGTGGGACAAAACACTGAAGCACTGGTCCCTGGATACCGGCAAGTGCCTGCGCACCTTGTCTGCCGGCATGGCCTCAAGACACCTCAATGCTCGCAGAGTTGTGAAGCACATGTTCGCGATAGTTATAGCTTCCTAGCCTGCGCACACAAAGGTCAACTAGTCGACTTCTAGCGCAAAACTTTCGACGACAAGCATGCGCGAAATTGCAAGACTGCTGATGACAGCATCAGGGACAAAGTCAACACGGACCACGCAGATTAAACGATAATTCCTTAGCGACGGCAACTGCCATCAACAAGCAACAGCGACGCTCATGACCTGCAGCAACAGCAACAACAAGAACTACTTAAAGCTAGCAGACAACACATGCAACCAATACAATCAGTATCAGAAACAATCTACCGCACCCTTCAGCGGACTCAATTAATGAATCAACTTTCGTATATAGCAGCCACAAGATTCAGCGCACAACAACCACAACAACAACAGCCCAGCACCGGCACCCGCACTCGCACCCATCACCACCATCACCACCACCACCACCACCACCACCACCACCACCACCACCACCACCACCACCACTACCACCACCACGGCCACCACCAACAACACCAACAGCACCAGCACCAG